CACATCATTACTTTCTTCTACGCACGTTTCACTTTCCATTTCACGTCTCGTTTTACTTTCAATTACACGTCCTGTTTCACCACCATCTTCACCCCGTCCACCTTCCATAGCCAATTTTTCCAATGCCTCAATCCTCTTATCTAGTTTTTTTAGATACTCCAAAATTTGATTACCAACCTCAGAGGTGACCATATTGTCCTGAACCTTGTCGTCACAAGGTTTCAGTTTTTCCACTGCATGATGTACTTTCCCTAAGCTCGCCTTTACTTTCTCCGTCCCTTTTTCCCACACATTGATCATAGGGGCTGCCGTTGGCTTCCAACTGTTTCCTCCATGTTCCTCTTGCACAATTTTTCCTTGCTGCGAGGATACATCTATCCTGCTTGTAGGACCCGTTCTAGTCTCTTTCAGATGAGGCTTCATGGGGCATAGAGAGGAACCAGCATTGTGGCTGCCTCGACAGTTGCAACAAAATGGGATGATTTTTTCACTTCTTTCAATCTTGACTCTACACTCTCGCGAGTCGTGATTTTTCCCACAATACCGACACCTGGGGTCAAACTGGCATTTCCATGCCATATGTCCCCAACGTGAACACTTCATGCACAGTATGGGCTCAACGTATTTTGCAACGTTCCTATAGCCTAGTCCTTGCACAAAAATTTTCTCCAGCGCCTCACCCTTTACCAAGGCAACAACCTGGCTTCGTTTGTCACCACGAACACTGTTCCTCTTCGCCCAGACAACATTATCATTGTTAAGAAGAAGACAGTCAGGATCCAAATAAGTTGGAAACTTGAAAACTATGATCTTTGTGTGCAACATACCTTCTTCTGGAGGAACCATCACTACATTCTCAAAACCAACCGTCGTGAGGCGTTCCACGGCCTGTTCAGTCCCAACTGTTATGTAGGGCCGGTGAAGACCCTCCTTGAAAAGTGGTTCGTATTCCAAACATTGTTTAGCTAGACGTACCGTCCACTCTAGCTTTTGGTGGAAATTCAATTGGCATGTTGTAGGGAACAACAGCCTCTTCCTTCTTGTCTTGTCTTGCTTGTCTTGAGTCTTGCTGAGTAGGGTCTCATTCTTTGGTCTCTTTGCAATCTCATCGTCACTCTCACTGTCTCGCTGTCTGTTATTATTTCTCCGTTTCTTTTTGTTCACTACTAGTTCAAACGGTCGATTATCATCTTGTCTGTCCTCCTCACTACCACTTAGGCATACCGCCTCATCCATTTCTTCGACGCTGTCAATAATCGAGAACAAATGCACAATATCCTGTATCACCACGTGCAAAAACGAAGAGTGTGGGGCAATCCTCCACCTCCCACCAATCAGCGGACGCCAAGAGCGCCAACCTAGCGACCGCACACAACCGTGGTCTGGATACAACTGCGTGCCACCTTTTGGGTGGCTTAATCTTCATCAATCAATCCATTTGGTCCACACGGGAAACATCTCCCGTCACGCAGGGTGCAGTCGCACCTCCACAGATCTCCAGTTTCATCTCTTGATACTGGTAATGGCTCAAAAGGGCCATCACTTACGGGCTATTCATGCACGTGCCACCTTTTTGGTGGCTTAATCTTCATCAATCAATCGTTGTTATCTACGGGAGACGTATCTCCCGTCACGCAGGGTGCAGTCGCACCTCCACAGATCTCCAGTTTCAGCTCTTGATACTGGTAATGGCTTAAGAGGGCCATCACTTACGGGCTATTCATGCCCGTGCCACCTTTTGGGTGGCTTAATCTTCATCAATCAACCAATCGTAGTTATCTGATATGGTCAAGGAGACATCTCCCGTCATGCAGGGTGCAGACGCACCTCCACAGATCTCCGGTATCATCATGATACTGGTAATGGCTCAGAAAGCCCTCCACTTACGGGCTATTCATGCCCGTGCCACCTTTTGGGTGGCTTAATCTTCATCAATTGTGTGGGAGACATCTCCCGTCACGCAGGGTGCAGTCGCACCTCCACAGATCTCCAGTATCATCTATTGATACTGGTAATGGCTCAGAAAGCCCTCCACTTACGGGCTATTCATGCCCGTGCCACCTTTTGGGTGGCTTAATCTTCATCAATCAATCAATCGTAGTTATCTGATATGGTCAAGGAGACATCTCCCGTCACGCAGGGTGCAGTCGCACTTCCACAGATCTCCAGTATCATCTATTGATACCAGTAATGGCTCAAAAGGGCCACCACTTACGGGCTATTCATGCCCGTGCCACCTCTTGGGTGGCTTAATCTTCATCAGTCGAGAGCAGTACGTCCTAACCAGACGTTATATGATGATATCCTGAACAGTTGATAAATAAAAGTAATTGCGGAACTCCAGTTATCTAATACTTATCATATATGGTATAAAACCTTATCATAAGCCAAGGGATTTGTAGATCAGTGTTTAAAGGGAATTCGGAAGTAATAATGATACAGCTGATGCCATCTGTCGGCAGAAGAGAACACTATCAACTGGCTGGTCAATAGTAGCCATAAGATACAGCTTACGCCATCTGTTGACATCAAATTACACTTATAACAAATTACCCTGCAAAATACAACTAACGCCATCTCGTTTTTTTCCAACGCACTATAAATAGCCAAACAGCAACCCATAAGGTGGGTTGTTGTGCTCGGGTAAGAGGTTCCAAGCTCCGCCCACAAATGGTATGGGGTGCATAATAAATGGCATATCATTGGCAGATATTCTTTGTTGACATTCACACAACAGCCAATCACAGGAAGGGATCAGCTAAAGGCTCCATCCACTTAATAAATCATATTTATTCAGCACACCATCCTTGCTTATGACATTCTGCTTCAACTTTAATCTACCTAAAAAGTAAAATGTTAAGTATTTAAAAGTATTAATATAGTGATAATTAAATACTGCAGGATGTAACGAGTGTTACAGAAACATGGGCTGGCTACCTAACTTGTGACGTCATCAGTGGGAGTTGCCTTGACACAAATAATGATACACTGCTCTGCCCTCTTATTAGAGTAAATTATTCAGTTAGATGGAGATTTCTGTCAGGTGCAAAACAGAAATTGTTGTTCTTTTTCACAACAACCTTGTTGCTATGCACAAGGACCTATTTCTTTGTTTAAATTTTATTCATAAAAGAGAGACATCTCCTGTCACGCAGGGTGCAGTCGCACCTCCACAGATCTCCAGTATCATCTATTGATACTGGAAATGGCTCAAAAGGGCCACCACTTATGGGCTATTCATGCCCAAGCCACATCACCACTTGGTCCGGGAGACATCTCCCGTCACGCAGGGTGCAGTCGCGCCTCCACAGATCTCCAGTATCAGCTCTTGATACTGGTAATGGCTCAAAAGGGCCACCTTTTAGGTGGCTTCATCTTCATCAATCAATTCAATCTGTTTAAATCACGGAAGACATCTTCCGTCACGCAGGGTGCAGTCGCACCTCCACAGATCTCCAGTATCATCTATTGATACTGGTGATGGCTCAGAAGGGCCACCACTTACGAGCTATTCATGCCCGTGCCACCTTTTGGGTGGCTTCATCTTCATAACACATTCACAAGGGAGACATCTCCCGCCATGCAGGGTGCATTCGCACCTCCACAGATCTCCAGTATCAGCTCTTGATACTGGTAATGGCTCAAAAGGGCCACCACTTACGGGCTATTCATGCCCGTGCCACCTTTTGGGTGGCTTAATCTTCATCATCATCATCATTCATAAAAGACAACATTAACATCAGTAATAAAAATGATGGCAAGTTTCTTGGCCTATTCCTAGACAAGAGACTCAACTTCAGCACCCACATTCAACACATAACTAAGAAAGTCTCTAAGACAGTTGGTATACTCTCCAAAATCATATATTATGTTCCTAACTCTGCTCTCCTCTCACTATATTATGCACTAATCTACCCCTATCTTAATTATGGTATCTGTGCATGGGGGTCTACCACTGCAAACCACCTTAAGCCCATTATCACACAGCAAAAATCTGCTATCAGAATAATAACTAACTCTGCTTTCAGACAACACTCAGCTCCCTTGTTTAAATCCCTAAACTTGCTAAATATTAACTCCCTCCACACATTCTCTTGTGTCAACTACATTTACAAAACCCTGTTCTTAAATGCAAACCATGCTCTGAAACTCTCCCTGGACAGATGTAATAGGACCCATTATCACCACACCAGAAATAAATATCTCTTTGATATCCCCAGGGTCAAACTTAATCTGTGTAAACACTCTATGCAAATTAAGGGACCTAGTCTATGGAACTCACTCCCTAGTGAATTGAAAAACTGTAAAACTTTTGCCTTATTTAAAAGCAAAACCAAAAAGTATCTAACTTCATCTTCTTAGTTTCCTACACTGAGCTTTAAATTTGCTCTGTACCTAGTGTTACCCAATCTCCTAATTTTTATGTAATATCAAACAACCTTATCATTGTGTTCATTGCTGTCTTCTTTTATGTGCTAGCCATATGCTGTATTGTGACTACCAATTTTTGTCAACTACCATTCAAGCTGTCATTGCAATCAATCTTATATTGTTTCTGCTGTATTGTGCCTACCAATTTGTCAACTACCATTCAAGCTGTCATTGCAATCAATCTTAGCTACCTATGTGCTTTAATATACTGTACCTACAATTTTCTCTCATCTTCTTTTTTTCATTTCATGTAACTGTTTTCATTTTTTGTCTATAAATTTTGCAAGTATTTACCTCCTTAAAATTTTCTTAGATTAAGGACCTGCCCGAAACGCTGCGCGGGCTAGTGGCTTTACAAGACTGTAATTACCATATTTGTATCCTCAAATTCCTTATGTACATTCTTGTATATGCATAAATAAATAAATAAAAATAAATAAATTGTGAATCAAGAACGTAGGCCAGTGTGCTATGTAAGGACCCATATAATTTGCTTGTATTTCATTACTGTTCTCAATAAACAAGTGTATCTGAAGTGTTCACACAACTCATAAGGAATAGATACACAGTTATGGATAATGTTTTATTTGGTAATTCTATAGATAACATCTACTTATATGATACAAAATTACATTTCTTATATACATCCCTGACATTGCCTTCATAAACATTTTAATAGCTATTTATTTACATGGAATGTAGCTTGCATCACAATAGATGGGGCACCAGTTACAGCATGAGCTTGTCTTTGACCAACTCATCAGTTCTGCAGTGCCTTTAACCCCAATATGTCTCAGTGTTCCTGTCCTTATAGCCTTGCTTGACCTCCAATACTGCCGTGTTTCCATTCATACACCCTGACTGGCACTCTAATTCTAAATTCAAAAGTGCTAAGTGTGTGAGCACCAACACAAAAACTTTTGAAGTACAGAACTACAAAACCGTGTACAGTAGTTCACATTGCCCTGGATTTACTCATCAAGGTGTATCGTCATGCTGTAGTAGGACTAATACCAAGGCATTTCTCCATTCATATGATGAATTTACCACTGTACCAAGAATGAATACTGTGTTAGCTCCAAAGAGTCTTTACAGCTGTGGAAATACTACACCAAATCCATTGTAAAATAATTAAACAATTAGCATCACCCTTGTATTCATAACATATTACAAATTTTAAAGTCTATTGCCTATTCATACAGTTTATCTTACTTATGAGGCACTGCTAGTGTGGAGCTGAGGCTTGGAGACGCACAACACCGGGAAGCTTACTCTTTTGTTGTACAATAATTACCACAAATTGCTGTGCTATGAATATAATTAAGACACAATATCACTAGTGACCTTCACAATAATCAGTGAACACTATGACGTATGACGTATTCACTTTACCAGAATAAAGTATACTACTGTACTAACAAGGTATAATACTTATAAGCCCAGGTTCATTACACACAGTATAAAGCATATTGCATATTCTGAACTATTTAAGACAATGTGAGAAGTAAAGCTCGTATTAACTTGCCATCTTTTACTATCACAAAACTATAGTTGTCAAGCCATTCTCTAAGAGTTGTTAAGCATATAGTTATAATTCATCACAGTATGCATAAGATCAAGCATTGTTCTCAAATTATTTTGGTTATTAAGCCAAATTCGTAGAGTACTAGTACTAGATATTTACCGACTCTAGCTCTCACAGCATACTTGCTAAGAAGCACAATTGCCATAGTAAATGTCTTGCTAGTTTTATTCTCACAAAACTACTGTTATGAAGTTTTCACAAAACAGTACTCAATATATTATATAAATTCTCATACAGTACAGTATTACTAAACTTATCAATCCTCTTGTTTAAAATGCTATAATCACCAAGTTTTGTTCATAAAGCACAGAATTTATGAGCCCTAACTTTCATTGTAATGAGGTATTGCGCGTAATTCTCGAGAGATGTACAAATAAACATGAACTTGCAGCACACTTGGTCCTTATTAATATTTTAAAAGTTTAGCACTCACAATAATATTTAACATTGCAATTCTCACAGTAGTTGAAAGTTATTCACCATTTTCACAAATTAGTCAAATGTTGAGAATACAGAAGACAACTCGTCACGGAATTACAGTTATTTGGATTATTTTTTTCCGCACAATCCATGATATAATACTGATATTATGTGTGTGATATGTATAAAACCAAAGTTCTATACCGTACTCAAGGTACTTTGCCTGTGGCACCATTATTTAGCCTAGCACACTATGGGCGTGTTTCAAGTACAGAACACACAAATTGAACTGAAATACAAAAACTGTACTAACTAGGTTAACTAAACACTGAATAATATATGTCATCAAATGAGACTCTGCAAGGCAGGAACTTGCAAAACATGAGACTGGCTAATAACTTTATGTCGTGTAATGTACTGTAATTAAAAAAATAAACTAATATTAAGTCCTTCAATATGCATTTTAACAAAGAAATTATAACAATATTTATATTTTAGGCTATAAATAATACCAGAAGAATATGAATGTCATATTACTAATGGTAGGTGAAACTAGTTAGGTTTGAGAGACAAATGTAACTAATTCTTTAATAATGAACACCTTTCAAAATACATCCATCTTGTAAAAGATTTACGGGAAAGATGATATATAAATTATGTTGTCTAATTACAGATGAATGAATTTTTGCAGATTTGATTTTTACATCACATAAATAGATGAGAATGTTGATGCCACCAGTGAGAAGATACAGATACTGTAACCTTAAATTGGAATACAATTTTGTAAGAGGAAATTTTTTTGTGAGAGGGAAAACATTTTTGTGAGGGGAACAAAATTAACAGCTGGCATTTGGTCGAAGATCTGCATGAGTCACTCTACTGTCAACTCATTCGTTACATACTAATGAATTTGACTTAGCAGTTAGCTGCATTTAGCATGTCACCGTACAGCATGCGGTAAATATGAAGGCGTTAAGATGTAAAATGCTTCATGCTCTAAATTAACAATGGTACATCGGGGAAAAAATATTTACATTTTAGTAACAAAATGATTCATGTTCATTACTTACAAAATAATATTAGATATTTACTCAACAAACAAGGGAAAGAAGTTGAAATTAGTGAAACAATTAACAAGAAACTCTTAACAAAACATTCGATTACAAAGTACAGAAGAATCAAGATGTTTGAAATTTAATAATGCAATATTAAAGAAGCTCTATAAGTAAATCACAGGCCAATAAATCAGATTAGCATAATTCCGTTCTGTATTAGAATACCAGTCTGTCTCCAATAATCTATCCCACCCCATTTTATACCAATGTAATGAGGCTGATGAATATGAGGGCATACATGATTTATAATAGAGTATGGCATGAAGGAATATTTACAAACAACAGTATGTATATATTAAGTCATACAACATTTCATAAAATACCTAAGGTACTTGTGAATGCACTTCAGTCACATGTTTGATTCCTGTACAGTATTTGAACAATACTGTATGCCTAAAGATCTTACTGTTTCTCTCTCTCTCTCTCTCTGATATTGCACTAAGATATCAAATATACTTGTTTTAGCACTGTGTTTGAAAACACACACACAAGGGACACCACGAGTGTATCTCTCATCCTGTAACTACACTCAGGTAATTACACACACACACACACACACACACACACACACACACACACACACACACACACACACACACACACACACACACACACACACACACACTGTACATGCATTTCAATTAAGTATTATCATACACATCTAATCGAAGTCAAAATATAGCCTTATGTGAGATAGTATCATTGAATCATTGATAAATACTATCTTGGAAAAGTTAGCATAAATAACGTATTGATATAATCACTGAATGTAGCAGATCACGATTTTTTTGTTTCAAATGTATTACAATACATGATATTTTTATTAATATATGCTATATTTTAATTATTATTTTATCAATGAGTTCAATCAAACATACAGTATATACCTGTATAGCTATTTAAAGCTAAGGAAAGAAAAATACAAACCTATTGTTAAATGAATTTTCACAAATAAAATGTTTTTTTTTGTAAAAAGAAAGTAAAATGAGAAATTTTTTTAGTAGAAATTGAAAGGATAAGCATCTTGGGAGAAAAATTAGTGAAAAAAGTGATGAATCAGCAATGATGGAGACCCAAGATACAAGGATGACCAAAACCCCATGTTGAGAGAACCTCAACTTTTGGGATATATTGAAATATCTGGGGAAAGTGCAAGGGTACTGTTTGAAGAGCGTCAATATCTGGGGAAAGTGCAAGGGTCTTGTTTGAAGAGTGTCAATATCTGGGGAAAGTGCAAGGGTCTTGTTTGAAGAGCGTCAATATCTGTGGAAAGTGCAAGGGTACTGTTTGAAGAGCGTCAATATCTGGGGAAAGTGCAAGGGTCTTGTTTGAAGAGCGTCAATATCTGGGGAAAGTGCAAGGGTCTTGTTTGAAGAGCGTCAATATCTGTGGAAAGTGCAAGGGTACTGTTTGAAGAGCGTCAATATCTGGGGAAAGTGCAAGGGTACTGTTTGAAGAGCGTCAATATCTGGGGAAAGTGCAAGGGTCTTGTTTGAAGAGCGTCAATATCTGGGGAAAGTGCAAGGGTCTTGTTTGAAGAGCGTCAATATCTGGGGAAAGTGCAAGGGCTTGAAAGTGCAAGAGTTTGAAGTGTCAATATCTGGGGAAAGTACAAGGATCCTATTTGAAGAGCATCAATATCTGGGGGAAGTACAAGGGTATTGTTTGAAGCGCGTCAATTTGTAATGATAATGAAAGATGACCTGATGATAGGCTGACACATAAAACGGAATATGGCACCTTTGGGAATTAAAATTTCACAGTGGTAAAATTTGGCATGTAATTACATGCATTTAATATTACCACTAGCTTTATATTATTTTTGAAATCGTAATGAGCACACGATAAATAATATTCTGATCGCAATATAGTCACAGACTTAATTATAGATCAGCAACTGACACACTCATCTTTATCTTCAATGATAATTTTAAGTCAAGATAAGATGTATCCAGGGAATGGTGTGTATACCAGAGAATACTAAAGGTTTCAAATATATACTGTTGGATCTTTAGCCAGCAGCTACTGGCATATACTCGTATAGCTTACTGGTGTTAAAAAGCTTAGTTACATAATACACATAATATTCACAACTTAGTTAATGGTCATAATGAAGAAGAGGTGTGGGGGGGGGGTAAAGCTAACAACTGTGATTCACTGACACCTATGGAAACTATTCCAGCTGGGTCACTACCAGAGTCACCGGCAACTTGTTCAAGCATACAGTAGTACATCCAGATTTACCATAATCTCCTATGAATTATGGTAATCTGTTTGAATTGACAGTATGCTGCTTCTGATATCTGTTAACGTTCATTGACAGGCAAATGAATGCAGAGTAGATCAAACATTAAATGAATCTTGTCAACAGGAGAACTTTAAGGCATTTTGATTTGTTACATAATGAACTTTTCTTCCTTCAAGATGTCAGAACATATCAATATTTATGAGTGGAAGCATTGAATCCTTGCTATTTATTGACTATTTCATAACCAAATTGTCTGATTCTGACCTTCATCTGGTTGTATAAGAAGCACTTCGCAAGATCTTTTTTAAACAATGAAGCACTAAGTTCTCTGGACTAGTAACAGAAGCATACACCACACTAGAGACGGGACAGAAAAGTATATCTGTCCTTGCATGTGTCACACACATTCCTAACTGTAATCACACAGAGGAAAGGGACTTGCATGATTATATTTTCTGAACAAGGGAAGGAGGTTCACTCACTACAGTATCACTGGTAAGTCACTGCTAAGGTACCAGGTTTCACCAACAGAGGGCACTACAGTTTGGTTGCATCTAGATTTTGAAGAGAGTCTTTGTCCTCAGAGTAGCCACTTTCTTCACTTATGTTATCACCTTCCATGCGAGCCATCTTCCCTGGGTTTTCACCTCCATTTATAAGGTGACTTTCATTAATAATGTGATCACTTTCGTTCATGAGGTTCTCCTGCTCAGTAGTGACATCACAGGGGTCGCTGCAGGCACCGCATGAGGAACTGCACGAGTGGGATCCCAAGGACTCAGGTTGGTCCGAAGTGAGAGATTCCTCTGCAGGGGGAGCGAGGTTTAGCTCACGTGTTAAGGAGGCCAGCAAACCCAAATCATCTCTTCCTCGTACATCAGCACCTCTTGTACTATCACATGACCCCTCGTCATCCACTGCTTCTTCCACAACACCCAGTGGCTTGTGATGCAGTGGTCGGTCATCCAGAGGCGAGAGGGGAGGCACTGGGCAATAAAGGAGACTCTCGGAGTGGTGGCATGGAGAAGCAAACTGTGGACTGTCATCTTCGTACTCTTCTTCAAGCACATAATGATCTTGTCCGGCACTTGCAACCTCACTACTAGAGTCATAATCCACAACAATATCTGAGGTTGTCTCTGACATGGTGCTGGACCCACCTACATCCTCTTCCGGCTGTAGGTGAACCGAAGCTAAGTCATCTATTTCCTCCTCGTCGCTATTTCCGAGACCCTCCTCGTCCTCCTCTTCTATGGTCTCTTCGATGGCACCAAGCTTAGGTGCACTCTTGGACCTCTCGAGGGGTGGGCGATAGTTGGCAGCCCCCGTGGACAGGAGCAGCTTGCGCCGTGGGATGGACGCAGAGTCGTAGATGGCGTGCATGAGGGACATCCGAGCATTCTGTCGCACAACTTTTTCTCGTCTAAATTCTTGCAGAGCTGATGTAAGGCGGACCCTCAGTTGTGTTGCCATTGCCTGTAAAATAACAAACACTAATTACCTGATATTCAGTATTATGAACAGTGTTCAGGGAAAAACATTATTCATCATTCATGGTGTAGTCCTAAATAAAATATTATTATTATTATTATTATTATTATTATTATTATTATTATTATTATTATTATTGTTGTTGTTGTTATAATTCATAACAAATGTTAGAAAACCTTATGGTTCTGACCATTTATCATGAGGTCATTTTATAAATGATTCAAAATAACATTTACAGCAGACTGAATATAGACCATTTGCAATTATATACAGCCAAGAAAATTATTTTTCATAACATTATTAATGAAACTTACAATGTAACTTTAATTTTTGTAGCGGTTACATAAAAAAAACACAGACACATGCTTGTTAATGGAATATATAAAAAAAAACAAGACATAATCACCACATATAAAATATTTTGAATAATTGATAGGATAGTGATAGACTATTATACATGGCTGATACACGAATAAGGAGAGACAGATGGAAACTGAGTACCAGTACCAGCGGCCAGATTCACGAAGCAGTTACGCAAGTACTTACGAACGTGTACATCTTTCCTCAATCTTTGACGGCTTTGGTTACATTTATTAAACAGTTTACAAGCATGAAAACTTGCCAATCAACTGTTGTTATTGTTATAAATAGCCTCCTGGTGATTCGGAGCTCATTAACTGTTTAATAATTGACAAACAAAGCCGCCAAAGATTGAGAAAAGATGTTCAGGATCGTATAAGTGTTTGCGCAACTTCTTCGTGAATCTAGCCCCAAGCATTTCATCTTACTGGTGAAGGTTTTAACCAATCACAACCATTGCTTCCTAATTGGGCCACACCCCCAATTGGTTCAGTACATAAACACTTGTGCATCAGACTGCCCGTCCTCTTATTAACAAGATTTGTCATTTCTCTGGCTATTATTATCTAAATGACAATATAAGTCATAATGTTATTATAAACAAAGTTAATAAATAAAATATTTTTTGATGGGGACTGTGGCATTATTGCAAGGAAAAATATTTATGCAAAATAGTTTGAGACCATTTTCATGGTTTTGTTAGTCTGCAATATTTATATTTTGCTCCGCCTGGAGTTGTCCTATAAAAGAAAACGTAGAAGTGGTAAATGTTTAGGGTGACTCTTCTATCTGAGTTTCAGCACATTAGTGTCGATTAATGTGCTAAAATCGATCGATATATATATATATATATATATATATATATATATATATATATATATATATATATATATATATATATATATATATATATATATATATATATCGAACCTGGACCCTAAGGATTACGAACACCGAGCGCTGTCCACTCAGCCGTCAAGTCTAACTGTGTCTCAGACACAGGCAGTCATAGGGAGAGAAAGGAGAAGGAGGGGGGGGGGATGATTGAAGAGAGGGAAGGAGAGAGTGGGAAGATTGGTAGAAGGTGGAGAGAGGTGAGAAGGGGACAGGGGCAGAGGGTGATAGAGTGATATATATATAAATATATATAAATATAATATATATATATATATATATATATATATATATATATATATATATATATATATATTATATTTATATATATTATATATATATCACTCTATCACCCTCTGCCCCTGTCCCCTTCTCACCTCTCTCCACCTTCTACCAATCTTCCCACTCTCTCCTTCCCTCTCTTCAATCATCCCCCCCCCCCTCCTTCTCCTTTCTCTCCCTATGACTGCCTGTGTCTGAGACACAGTTAGACTTGACGGCTGAGTGGACAGCGCTCGGTGTTCGTAATCCTTAGGGTCCAGGTTCGATCCCCGGCGGAAGCGGATACAAATGGGCAGTTTCTTTCACCCTGATGCCCCTTTACACATAGCAGTAAATAGGTACCTGGGAGTTAGACAACTTCTACGGGCTGCTTCCTAGGGATGTGTGTGTGTGAAAATTAGGATTAAGGACTTGCCCGAAACGCTACGCGTGCTAGTGGTTGTACAAGAATGTAAGAACTCTTGTATATATAAATAAATACAATCTGTCTGTCTCTATTGTTCTGATTGTCTTCTTGTCTTTCCCTTTGACCTGATCTCTCTGCAGGCCTCTGTTTTTTTTCTATTTATCTGTCTGTCCGTCTCTATCTTATCCTGACTATGTCTCTCTCTCTCCTTCTGTCTTATAAAAAACATATTATAGTGTTCCATTGGCGTGTGGATGGTGTGCAGGTGGGGTGAGTGTGGCGGTGTGAAATATTAACAAAATATAATCTTTACCCCAAGTGCTTTGAGAAACGGGAGGGTATGAGAAAGCCTGCGAAGCTGTGGAAGGATTGTCTGCTTTATGCTATTATGGCCATAGTATGACTAGCAGAAAATGTATATTAGTTTTCTCAAGATCAGTGAATAATAATGTATTTTACTATAAGAACAAAATTTATTTGAAATTTTTATTTTCAAAAATATTTAATTAGGTGTAGTTTAGTAGGCAGTCTCAAAAATCAACGTGAGGGTCAGAAAGTAATCCTGGCATGCTGTTCTCTATTGAATTCTGGCGACTCCCGACCAGCCTATGTCAGTTCCGTACCCTAGACCATTGCCCTTGCAAAGTTGGGTGAAGCTAGCCCCGCCAAGCCTTTGGCTTCCAACCTAGAACACAGAGACGTAAGAGATTCTGTGTTAATAGATGGAGATGCAGACGAGTAGTCACAATAACGTGGCTAAAATATGTTGACCAAACCACACACTAGAAAGTGAAGGGGCGACGACGTTTCGGTCCGTCCTGGACCATTCTCAAGTCGAAACGTCGTCGTCCCTTCACTTTCTAGTGTGTGGTCTGGTCAACAGATGGAGATGGTTACTGACCTCGGCCTTGGTGTTCTTGGGACAGAGGACAGCATGGCAGCGGAGCTCCTGCTTGAGCCTGCGTCCCTCGTGGCGGTAGACCCAGCAGAAGACCCTGGGGTAGGCCGGGTGAGCGACGCAGTAGGTGACGCGGTGGGCCCAGTACTCCGTGAGGCCGTGTTCCCGCGTCACCGCCCTCAGACCCGCTCCGCAGATCGTCACCTGAACACACACACAACAACTGGGTTTAAGGATATTGCTTTCAAACTTCTTGAGGAACTACTATTATTTCTGTTGACCAGACCACACACTGGAAAGTGAAGGAACGACGACGTTTCGACTTGAGGATGGTCCAGGACGGACCGAAACGTCGTCGTCCCTTCACTTTCTAGTGTGAGGTCTGGTCAACATACTTCAGCCACGTTATTGTGACTCTTCGTCTGCACTATTATTTCTCAAATAAACTGAGGAAGACATAAACAGCTTGAGTTGTAATGTATTGCCAAATATGATTGTTCATGCAGTCCGTTCTCGCGAGCTTTCCCAACGTCAAGAAACTGACGTACTAAAGTGTCCTTATCCTAACCTACCAGAGGACCCCCCACGAACAGAAAACGGGACCTTATGTCAATTTCGCGAGCCGCTCCCATTTTCTAGTACGATAGTGTTTGGCCTTAGGTAAAGGGGTAAAAAGTATGCATCAAAAATTATGTTTTACTTAGGTAAAAAGTATGCGTCAAAATGCGACGTGCTATAAAGAGGACAGGTTGGTATATGACTCTTAAGATTAAACTCTTAAAAACCATAAAGGTGAGATTTTCAACAAGATTATCAGTATAGGTTTAACTGTTACAAATACTGATAAGTTATGAGCTGAAAGATCTTTCTTTCAAAGGAAAAGCCAGTGCTATTTCTTCAGTATTAAACCAAAAAATAAAATAACATACATTATTAATCTCCATTTTGAACCTGTCCATTTTTCTCAAGTGCACCTGCAAGATGCTAACACAACTCCAGTATGGTAAGTGCTTGGGTTCGATAACTTTTGTAAGTAATGCACAGAGAACCAATCAGAGAACACTGCATAAACATCAGAGGTCCGCGGTTGTTCAACATCCTCCCAGTGAGTATAAGAAATATTGCCGGAACAACCGTGAACATCTTCAAGAGAAAACTAGATAATTTTCTTCAAGGAGTGCCGGACCAACCGGGCTGTGGTGGATATGTGGGCCTGCCGGTCGCTCCAAGCAACAACCTGTTGGACCAAGCTCTCACAAGTCAAGCCTAGCCTCCGGCCGGGTTTGGGAAGTAGAACTCCCAGAACCCCATCAAACAGGTAAGACGATATCAACGGAATGCCTTAGCAAGGACCAACCTTAGACAATAAGCCTTACATTTCTTTATGCTAGACTCAGCTCCAGGGCTTCTTTTAACATGCACAATGATGGAGACCTTTTGTTCGTTACTGGGTCTTGCACACTGAATCACCCTAGAAGAGGAACTCTAGTGGCAGAGGGCTCGCCATGAACATTTGTTGATAAGCTAGTGAGTTCAGTCACCAAGACTGATCTCACAGACTTAGTGAGATCAGCCGCAAAGAATACATGAAGTAATTGCGCTGAAGATAATCCAAGGCCGATGTAAAGGCTAGTTATTGTGGAAATTAATGGATATATTTACACCACATTGCTTACATTAAACCAGAAGGGGTCTGGCTGTACTGAAGGGTCGAGAGAGGTGTACCAGTTACGAGTTTCACGGAGGAATGTGCAGGTTCAACACGTGAACTTTAGCTAGCTCATGAAGAACCTTAACTGGTTCACGCCTGCATGGCATTTAACTCAACAGGACTTGATCGACACGGCCAAAATGCCGCTGCCTGTAGGGACACCACAGCAACTGGTGACCGAACACAGGGATCCGTGTGACACTAAGAACCATGGAATACACACAGAGATCACACTAACGTGATGCATCAAATGAACAAAGTCGTAGACACTGCCTTAATCGTAGCTCAGTCGATTAAGGCAGTGTCTGGGATGCTCCCGGACGCAGGTTCGAATCCTCGTCACGGCCCTTGTGGATTTGTTCATTTAACCATGGAATATATTAATGTATATGTAGAATAATGTGGACTATTGTGGCTCAGCGACTCACACATGAAATGGCATAGTTGCGTTGTTGTTGTTTTAGATTTAGCTACTAAGAAGGAAGTGTCCATGCAGCACGGGCTATGGTGAGCCCGTACCATACTTGCGAATATCAGTTGTTAATATAACTAGAGAGAGAAAGGTGGAGTAGAGGAGAGGTAGAGGACCCACCTTCATCGCGATGTCTTGCCGGGTACTTTGACAGTAGTTCCTCCATAGTGTTGCCAGCGGCTTGTCCACACATCCTTCCCCTGAAACACGTCAACCATATATAGATACTGTATATATATGTGTGTAAATGACGAAAAATAAACACGTGATTAAAAATGTGACAGTGTCAGACCACGGAGGAAAATTGAAACAGGAATTTTCTTAAGTACTTTCGTATATTAATAGCTCCTTCTGAAGATGTATTAATATACGAAAGTACTTAAGGAAATTCCTGTTTCAATTTTCCTCCGTGGTCTGACACTGTCATATATATATATATATATATATATATATATATATATATATATATATATATATATATATATATATATATATATATATATATATATATATTACTATATATTAATCATATATAAACATTACACGCTTATGCTAACATATGACAGGACTAGGAAGGCTCAAAGAGTCCACCTTGAACATAATAGTAAATTGAAGCAATACGTAGGAGTTTAATTACAACGACATTACAGGTAAAGAAATACGTGTTTAAAACACAGATGAGAAGACACGTGATTTGATGAACATAAACATGAATTTGTAAACAAACAAAACCACGGAGTAACTGAGAAGAGTGAGACGAAGTCAGGTATCTAGCCTACTAATCCCTAGAAAATATCTTAGGACAAAATAGAACTCTTAGATGAATTTAAAGAAAGCAGAACAGTGCAAACTGGAACCAGCAGGTCCATTGTTCATCACAATGAAATGTTGACCAGACCACACACTAGAATGTGAAGGGACGACGACGTTGTTTCGGTCCGTCCTGGACCATTCTCGAGTCGATACTTTAGCCACTTTATTGTGACTCATCGCCTGCACAATGAAATGTCTCAAATAAAAGATGTGTGTATGGGGCAAGAACCCAAATCAACAGACTAACAGCCTGCTCATTAGCTCGAATAAGACTTGGCTACAGTCTCTTGACTGTTTTTCTTATATTTCAGTGATGGGAACATCAGATCACTTGATGTTCACAATTTTCTGACAAAGTTTGAAGATCCGAAGTTTTCGGATCTTCGAGTTTTCTGGCGAAAAATGAAGTTTTCTGACGAACACTTTACTTAATCTTAACACTTTAGATGAACTAAAGTGTTAAGTGATGACCAGACCACACACCAGAAGATGAAGAGACGACGACGTTTCGGTCGGTCACGGACCATTATCAAGTCGATTGTGATGAGAGTGAGAGTGAGTGATGATTGATTGATGAAGAATAAGCCACCCAAGAGGTGGCACGGGCATGAATATCCCCGTAAGTGGAAGCGAGGGAGGCATAAAGTGTGTGGACAAAGACAGGGACACACACACTAAAGCATTACATCTTAGACTGTGATAAAACTGAGCCATTTAGAGATAAATCTAAATTCACGCTGCATGAAATGGTAAACTGTCTAATTACTAAGGATAAAATACTTGAAATCCTTGTAGTGTCCATATTATTTTTCCAGTAGATAACTGACATATAAGATTAAGGAAGAAGCTTTCCTATGGCCCTGTAATACCTCCATAGCTCAAACAGCTATGAACAGCCATAGCAAAAAGTCCTACCATTAATATATTATATTTAATTGTAAATACATAGCTATTGAAATGGAACAGTCTCTGTAATTAGTTGACATCATAACTATGTTCACGACAGGTGTAAATGGGATATTATCATCGTTGAGGTCTGATAAAGACCTTTTGTGCCTTCTGTAATCCTTTTTGCGCTACCGCTCACAGGATGAGTATGGGGTGCACAATAAACTAGCCGCCTCTGACGGCAACAATCAGTAAGAACAAATGACGACGTATGTTCGGCCTTCACGTGGCTGCGGCTAGAGTGTAGAGCCGGTACAGCCAGCCTCGCTCAGTATAAATCATTAGCACCTCCGACGCTTGCATTTGCCTTCACATTTGTCACTGTTTCCAGGATGTGGATCATTTGGGTGAAGGTTCAGTGCCCTGCGACACACATGATGCCCGCACTATCTCCTACCTTCCGTCCTACACCCTAGTTACCTGCCCGGAGGTGGCTAGGCTGCCACCTGCCCGGAGGTGTTTAGGCTGCCACCTGCCCGGAGGTGGCTAGGCTGCCACCTGCCCGGAGGTGGCTAGGCTGCCACCTGCCCGGAGGTGGCTAGGCTGCCACCTGCCCGGAGGTGGCTAGGCTGCCACCTAGCCACCAGCAGCCTAGCCTCCTGTACCACGGGACATGCAGGAAAGCATGCACAACGAGGAGGTCGTTAGTGTTTACCGCGGGTAAATATGGTTCGTGTCTGCACTTACTCCTCCTGTACTGTTAAGATGAACTCCACACTGAGGACCGGTACTGGAGGCTGCCACAGCTTCCTCCCCCCCCCCCACACTCTCACACCCTCCGCCTCGCTCTTAATTACTTCATTTTAAGACTTTTCCTCCTTCGGGGAGTTCGAATCAATTGCCGAAAAATTTTGAATGAGTAAATTTGTATACGTAACAGTACCACTTATTTTTCTGAGAGGTTGTGTATCGTATTAAATACGATAGAGAAACACGACAGAGCCTATTGGGCTCTATCATATCTACATTTGAAACTGTGTATGGAGTCAGTCTCCACTACATCACTTCCTAATGCATTCCATCTGTTAACTACTCTGACACTGAAAAAGTTCTTTCTAGCGTCTCTGTGGCTCATGTGGGTACTCAGTTTCCACCTGTGTCCCCTTGTTCGCGTACCCCGCATACTAAATTGTTTATCTTTATCTACCTTGTCAATTCCTTTGAGAATTTTATAGGTAGTGATCATGTCTCCCCTTACTCTTCTGTCTTCCAGTGTCGTGAGGATTAGTTCCAGTAATCTTTTCTCGTAGCTCATAATCTTCAGCTCGGGGACTAGCCTGGTGGCATACTTCTGAACCTTTTCTAACTTCGTTTTGTTTGACTAGATGTGGACTCCATGCTGGAGCCGCATACTCCAGTTGTGTGTTTGTGTGTTTGTGTGTGTGTGTGTGTGTGTGTGTGTGTGTGTGTGTGTGTGTGTGTGTGTGTGTGTGTGTGTGTGTGTGTGTGTGTGTGTGTGTGTGTGTGTGTGTGTGTGTGTGTGTGTGTGTGTGTGTGTGTGTGTGTGTGTGTGCGTGCGACAGGTCAATCTTGCAGGCACAAATAGTAAATACACGCACACTTAGGAAAGAGATGACTGGGTTTATTGCATTCACCTAGACCTAAAAAAGGCATTCGACAAAGTCCCACACAAGAGGCTGTTCTGGAAACTGGAAGATACTGAAGGAGTGACTAGAGGGAAGACGTCTGACACGGATGAGAAATATTTTAACTGACAGTAGACAGATGAGGGCAGTAATCAGAGACAATGTACCTGACTGGAGGAGTGTTTCTAACGGAGTCCTACAGGGCTCAGTTCTTGCACCAATACTTCTACATAAACGACCTACCACAAGGAATGCAGAATTATATGAACATGTTTGCGGATGATGCTAAGATACTGAGGATGATAAACGGAGACGATTGTCATGTCCTTGAATAAGATGTGGATAAAATAAGTATATGGAGTAATTCTGTGGCGCGGGTTCGATTCCCGCACGAGGCAGAAACAAATGGGCAAAGTTTCTTTCACCCTGAATGCCCCTGTTACCTAGCAGTAAATAGGTACCTGGGAGTTAGTCAGCTGTCACGGGCTGCTTCCTGGGGGTGGAGGCCTGGTCAAGGACCGGGCCGCGGGGACACTAAAGCCCCGAAATTATCTCAAGATAACCTCAAGATGGAGCACCACTTGGAAGAAGGAAGTAAATGTGAATTACTGACATGTTATGGAATGTGGAATAGGAGAAAACAGACCACACACACATCCTACAAATTATGTGAAAATGCTTTAAAAAATTCTGATAAAAAATAAATCTAGGTGTGGTTTTAGATATAAAACTATCACCTGAGGATCATATAAGGAACATCGTGCGAAGAACCTATGCTACACTTTCCATTTTCAGAATTGCTTTTAAATACATGGATGGTGAAATACTAAAGAAATAATTAGCAACCTGTGTGAGACCAAAGTTGGAATATGCAGCGGTTGTATGGTGCCAATATCTTAAGAAGCACATCAACAAACTAGAAAAGGTGCAAAGACATGCAGCTAAATGGCTCCCAGAACTGAAGGGCAAGAGCTACGAGGAGAGGTTAGAGTCATTAAATATGCCAAAACTAGGAGATAGAAAAAAAGGAATTGATATGTTTACAAGTGATGGTATTACTGCGTATAATTAGTAATTTCCGTTACTAATTATACGTTACTGCGTATAATTAGTAACAGAAATAGACAAAATTGACAAGGAAGAAATCCTGAGACCCTGACACTGCAAGAAAAAAAGGTGATAAATTTAAGCTAGCTTAACAATTCTGTCGAGGAAATATAAGAAAATTGACTTTCGCAAACAGAGTGGCAGACGGTTGGAACAAGTTAAATGAGAAGGTGGTGGAGGCCAAGACCGTCAGTAGTTTCAAAACGTTATACGACAAAGAGTACTTGGAAGACGGGACACCACGAGCGAGGCTCTCATCCTGTAACTACACTTAGGTAATTAACACCAATGACACAGAGACAAGACATGACAACTGCCGTCACAACAGCAGAGACAAGAGCTAGAGCAGCAGGTGGAATGAGTCGGATGAGCAGGTTGGGCCCCTCAAATATTATGATATCAAACTCCCCAACGGACGAATTATGAGGTACTATAAATCACAGAGGCTCACAATCATTCACGTTTTCTATGCTTTGGTCGTTAGGTTAGGTTCGAGTGATTTAGTACATCCTGTTCTGGCCGTTGTGGCAGCTCAAGAGGACGGGCTGGCTAGTCTCCATTCACCATTGTAAAACGTATGATAAGAAGCTAAAGGAGGCATGGTCAGAGACCGGACCGCGCAGGTATTGATTCCCGGAAGTAACAACATGAAAGGCGGGGTTTTGGAGCTGATAGCCGACCATGCAAGCACACCTAGGTGAGTACACACAGCGTATAATACACTGAGGGAAAATAAATGAAGTGGTAAGATATAGTTTACCAGAGCGGATGACTGGAGGAAGAGGCATAGGTGGAAACTGGTGACTGGAACACGTCTGAGACGTGTAAGGCAAGAGAGAATACTGGCGCACACGGGCACCACAACCTGGTGTATCCATGAAACAATACTGAGTCACGGAATGGGATCGAACCCTCCGCCCGGGACTCTCCAGTCACCATGACGCAGTAAAACCATGTTCCATAAGCAGTCTTCAACCCTTAAACTCAATCATTCCAATTGATAAAATAAGATAAACAAAGACATCAGTAACTGTGCAATTGTCAATGTTGCTGCACTTTTGAAGTCTCGGGGAAAAGAATTAGAGCGTGGAGGACGATCCAGATCACCAGGTACAATGAAAACACGCCGATCTCTTTACATTAGTCTCCCCCACCCCATGATAATACCTAGGACAGTTCTCCCTTTTTAAATTTTAAATTTTGCCCCGAGCGGCGAGTTTATTGGGCAGCGCCACTCATCTTGTGAGTGGACACACCGCTATAGCAGCATGTACAACATTCCCCAATAGGAAGAAAACCCTTTGTTATGGGAGAACATCAAGGCGCCAAGAGGTGCTGGACACACTACCCATACAGGTGAGTGAAGTTATGGTATTATTGGCCCAGTTGCTTCTCCTGGAATGGTTGGGTATGGTGAAGTGGAATGAGTATGACAAAGATAAACTACGACTCACAACTAGGGAGAGAGAGAGAGTGATAAAGAGACGACCAGAGAGCAAGAGAGCAATACAGCAAGGACTAGAGATAAAGATGTTTGTTTACCTTTGGCCCAGCCGGTGAGGACGTTGCCCAGATAGACGACCTTGTAGGTGGGGTCGTATTCCGTGATGGTCACACTCTTCTTCCTCCACAGCTTCTTGAGGTTCATGTTGGGCATGGTGAAGAGCCTCGCTCACCTATGTGTTCACACACACACACACCAACACCTGCCTCACTCCTCTCTCAACACGTGGGTGGTGGCGTCGACATGGTCACGGCGCCAGTGTGGGTGGCACGTGTCGACGACAGAGGGCCACTGATGGGCACTTGTGCTGTGGCACCCAGGGCACTCTCCAGATGACGTCAGCCCTGCATATCCGCTGCTGATGTTAGTCAGTACTGGGCGACGCCTGGCATCCTGTGCTGGTGGCCACGCTCGCAGACACTCTCTCCTCACCCTCTCACACTTCTTACTCGGCTCCTCTCTCTCTCTCTCCTCCTCCAGGGCGCTCCTCTGCCCGCCCCCTGGGGCTGCTTCTCACGCCGCCTCGCCTACCCCCAGGGCCGGATACTTTACGTGTGCCCCGGGGTCCGGCCTGGGGCGCGCGGGGGGCTCAGGGGTCCCCGCCCCACACCAACATGGCACACGTTCATCAGACTCCTGTAAACACAAACAAGATGGTTAGTAACATTCAAATGACTCGGGGGAAACAGTTTACACCAGCTTCATACATAGATATATATATTTCCCCTCAGTGTATATACATCGAGTTTACATTAATTCTCTCCGAAGATACATCGAATTTATACCAATACTTCACTCTATTGTGGACGATTGCTTATTCATGTGGTAGAAACAAGACATTGCGTCGTTAGTGGTCGAGGTAGTTCCCAGGGGACAGATTCACGAAGCAGTTACGCAAGCACTTACGAACGTGTACATCTTTTCTCAATCTTTGACGGCTTTGTTTACATTTATTAAACAGTTTACGAGCATGAAAACTTGCCAATCAACTGTTGTTATTGTTATAAACAGCTTCCTGGTGGTTCAGAGCTCATTAACTGGCTAATAATTGTAAACAAAGCCGCCAAAGATTGAGAAAAGATGTACACGTTCGTAAGTATTTGCGTAACTGCTTCGTGAATCTGGCCCCAGGTGATTAACCTTACCAACTACTCCTGGCGTTGTTAGTAGCCACAGCTCTATATTTTTGCATTTATTTATATATATATATACAAGAGTTGTTACATTCTTGTACAGCCACCAGCACGGGGTAGCGTTTCGGGCAGGTCCCTTAATCCTATGTTCCCTGGAATACGACCCGCCAAATCGTTTCACAACCAGGTACCCATTTTACTGCTGGGTGTACAGAGGCTACAGTTAAGGATTGGCACCCTGTCAATCCAGGATACGAACCCAGGCCAAAGTGCTCGCGAAACGCCAGGCGAGTGTCTTACCACTGCACCACGGGGGACTGCTTTGTTAGTAACTTAGTAACTGAAGGAATTAAAACTGACACCGCTGGAAAGGAGGAGTGAGACATGATACAGACGTATAAAATACTTAGGGCGGGATTGACAGGGTGGAAAGAGTGGAAATGAATACTAATAAAGGAGAGACATGGCTGGAAGCTTGAGGCTCAGATGTGTGCAACAGGACAGACAGACAGACAGACAGACAGACAGACAGACAGACAGACAGACAGACAGACAGACAGACAGACAGACAGACAGACAGACAGACAGACAGATATTAACAGAGCCTACTGGGGTTAATAGAGCCTAATAGGCTCAGGAATCTGTACACCAGTTGATTGACAGTTGAGAGGCGGGACCAAAGAGCCAGAGGTCAACTCCCGGTAGAACTAGGTGAGTATTCACACACACACACACACACACACACACACACACACACACACACACACACACACACACACACACACACACACACACACACACACACACACACACACACACACACACACACACACACAAATTCCCAGGCGTATGACGTGAGTAGAATGACAGGAAACCGGAGCAGATAATTAGGATGGAGTGCCGAGAAGTGATAGAGAATGAGAGTCCCACACGCCAGGGACACCAGCACTTCTAGGAAGTGTCCCTGTCGACTGGAATGGCACACGCTGGACCCCTATGGCTGACCCCTATGGCTGACTCCCTATGGCTGGTCCCTATGGCTGACCCCTTTGGCTGACCCCTGTGGCTGACCCCTTTGGCTGACCCCTATGGCTGACCCCTGTGGCTGACCCCTATGGCTGACCCCCCTATGGCTGACACCTATGGCGGGATCCACGGGGATCGTGGAGTGGGAGCTACTATCCTTACTTCCTCTACTTCTGTAAACTTAGTTTACCTTCAACTTAGTTTACGTTCAACATAGTTTACTTTTAACTTAGTTTACTTTAAACTTAGTTTACTTGTCACTTACTTTATCTTCAACGACCTCGGAAAAAAGCAGACATTCCAATATATACATATTTGCCGATAGGGGTACCCGGCAGTGCCCGGGACTGTTTCCTCCACCCCCACTTTCACTGTTTTTCCCCTCTGCCCTCTCTCCTAATATCCCCCCCCCTACCCGCATCTCCTCTCTCTCTCTCTCGCTCTCTCTCTCTCTCTCTCTCTCTCTCTCTCTCTCTCTCTCTCTCTCTCTCTCTCTCTCTCTCTCTCTCTCTCTCTCTCTCTCTCTCTCTCTCTCTCTCTCTCTCTCTCTCACACACACACACAAGGCTAGGGAGAGATGACCCCTGTACAGTCATCTGTTATCTCTAGTGAAAGTTTTTGTAGCGAAGTCCTGCCACCTGCTGCTGCTGCTGCTGCTGCTGTTACTGCTGCTACTGTTACTGCTGCTGCTGTTGCTACTGTTACTGCTGCTGCTGCCACTGTAACCTCCTCCTCTGCTCCTAGGACTCCTCGTTACTTTGCTGTTGGAGTTCTCCTAGGTGTATTGTCCACGCTACTGATGCAAGAATGGTGCTACATAGCCTTCCCGGTTTGGTGCCTTCTATTGATAATTACTTACTTACTGATGCAAGATGATCTGCAACAACCCCAATGCCTTCCTGGTTCTGGTATTGTTGCACACATTGAGGGCGCTGCTACTGGCGTATCCCTTCCCCCTTTTTGGACACTGTACCGTACAATGACCGCTGTACCGCTTGCTGTATCCGGCAGCTATTACCCTGGATGCTAGTAGTGCTTATACTGTACTCTCGCTGCTGCTCAAGTGTATACCTCAAGTGTAAACACACTTAAGTAACCCGACACTTTAAGGAACCACACACGTACCTGAAGTAAGTGTGTGCCTGGTTAAGTGTGAACACTTTCCCATGCTGTTCCGCGTGGAGGGCTGACGAGGACAGTTCAAGTGCCTGTGACGAGGACAGTTCAAGTCCCTGTGACGAGGACAGTTCAAGTCCCTGTGACGAGGACAGTTCAAGTGCCTGCGAGTGAAGGTGAAGAACTAGAGTGAACTAGAACTCTCCTGCCCGGAACACTTTGCGTAATAGTGGCTTTAGGCAGTGTATGCACCAGCTCTATCTATAAATCCATCAATTTTTCGTATCACCTCTTGTATGTATGTACTTTACCTGAATAAACATTTGAATTTGAATTTTTTGAAACTGTGTTAGGGCATCACTGCTGGGTATGGGCATTTCATACCCAGGCTGAATGACTCTTAGATAAGTAAGCTAACGAAGATGGACTAATTGTTCATCTCAAGATAACCTCAAGATGGCTAAAATAAAATAAATGAATAAAACCCAACTTTATTCATGCAAATGGTTATACATTTGTAACTGAATTAGTTTACATAAACTTTGAGTATACAATTTACTCAAGTGGGACGTTATAATAATAACATAACGTGATCACTATAATTATGTACAGTGGAATCTAGACTTATGGACCCGTGACAGGTGGAGTACCCGAAGGTGCTCACTTGGGACTTCTTTTATTCATAATATATATCAGTTATGTTCACAATACCGCAAACAGTAATAGAACAGAGCATTGTAAATACTAATGACACAAGACGGGCTCACCATAGCCCGTGCTACTTGGAACTTTTTGTTCCAGGTAGCGAATCTTAACACCAAATAATAATGACACAACTACCACCAGTTTCATGTAATGTTGCTACAAGTACAACCACTATTATAAGGTCAGTACAACCACTATTATAAAGCCAGTACAACCACTATTATAAAGCCAGTACAACCACTATTATAAAGCCAGTACAACCACTATTATAAAGCCAGTACAACCACTATTATAAAGCCAGTACAACCCCTATTATAAAGCCAGTACAACCCCTATTATAAAGCCAGTACAACCACTATTATAAAGCCAGTACAACCACTATTATAAAGCCAGTACAACCACTATTATAAAGCCAGTACAACCCCTATTATAAAGCCAGTACAACCACTATTATAAGGTCAGTACAACCCCTATTATAAAGCCAGTACAACCCCTATTATAAAGCCAGTACAACCACTATTATAAAGCCAGTACAACCACTATTATAAAGCCAGCGCTGTTACAATGAATAATGAATATGATGTTAGGTAAGGAATGCTTCCTACTTCATTACATGCTGGAGAGGACCCGTCACCTCCTCTCTAGCCCTTGCCTATCCCACCAGCACCCACTCTCACCTCTCTCCTAACTAGTCCGCCTTCGTTAGCTTGTCTCTTTAAGAGTCCCTCTACAGATCTCCAGTATCAGCTCTTGATACTGGTAATGGCTCAAAAGGGCCACCACTTACGGGCTATTCATGCCCGTGCCACCTTTTGGATGGCTTGATCTTCATCAATCATCAATCTCTATGAGTCATTCAGCCTGGGTTATCGTTTGGAGAAAGACGTCCCATAGCCGTGCGCTCAGCAGGCGCGCTGTTGCTGTTGCTGCTGCTGCTGCTGCTGCTGCTGCTGCTGCTACTGCTGCTGCTGCTGCTGCTGCTGCTGCTGCTGCTGCTACTGCTGCTGCTGCTACTGCTGCTGCTGCTGCTGCTGCTGCTGCTACTGCTGCTGCTGCTTCCAGCCTCCCTGGCTGATTTCGCCAAGACTATCATTAAGACTGTGAAAGACTAGCTACAAGAGGACGAGGACAGGGCTGTAGTTACCATGTCTGTCATGCAGTGCCAATGTCACCATAGTAGCAGTTGGCACTTGCGGGCACTTTATACCTTGAGAAGTGCCATTAATGGCTGTCTGTCTGGCTGCCTCATCTCGTGTTGTCAGCCTGGTCACTTCCTTCTGACACTTCCCCCATCTCACCTCCTCCCCCCCCCCTAGGTCCGTGTGTGTACTCATCCAGTAGTCCCCTCACGCCGCCTGCCCTCACTTTCACCTCCTGGTGGGTGTCGGGGCCGTCATCTTCACACAGTCATGTCTACTCACTTTCCCTCCCCCGGGAACGGGTCAATAATGTTTTCATACCATTTTTTTATTTCCCTGCAAAAAAATGTTTTTTTTTTTTAAATCTTATGTATCTCTTAATTTACTGAATTGTTTGTGGCTTTATTGAATTGTTTCCTTCCTAATTTTCTTTCTTTTCCTTCCTTCTTTTGTTTTATAAAAACCGTCCCATCCCAAATCCTTATCCTGACCCCCTTTCCCAGTGCTATATAGTCGTAATGGCTTGATGTTTTTCTCTGATAATTAATAATTAATCGCTTATTTTCTTTCTTCCTTATTTCCCTCATCTATCCTGCTCTGCTCTGCACCCTGCTTCTCCCTAGGGGGTCAAGACCCGTGTGTCTTGTGGTGACCTGTTGTTCTTGTTGTTGTTGTTGTTGATTCAGCTACTCGGAACAAGTTCCAAGTAGCACGGGCTATGGTGAGCCCGTAGTGGACTTACCTGGCACAGGAGCGGGGCAAGTAGCACGGGCTATGGTGAGCCCGTAACTTACCTGGCACAGGAGCGGGGCAAGTAGCACGGGCTATGGTGAGCCCGGAACTTACCTGGCACAGGAGCGGGGCAAGTAGCACGGGCTATGGTGAGCCCGGAACTTACCTGGCACAGGAGCGGGGCAAGTGTTGTAATGACCTTCCCTATCGCTCTAAGACACCCTCTCTCTCTCTCTCACTTCCCTCACTCGCAACACACATTAGGTGAGTACATTAGGCGAGTACCTCTTCCATCTCTACCCCCTCCCCCCCTCTAAACACTTCTCACTCTCAGGATTAAAGACGAGGGAGAAGACACAGGTTAAGGAAAGTTGTAGGAATGTTTGGTGTTGTGAGTTATGACACCAGGTGGGCTGTCCGCCTTGATTGATTGATTGATTGATGAAGATTAAGCCTGCTAAGAGGTGGCACGGGCATGAATAGCCCCGTAAACCTTGCTAACACAAAGTCTGGGTTTAGTAGCTAGGCTAAGCTTGGTCAAACATTCACCAGGTAGCTGGTGAGTGTTTGTAAGGGTCTTCACATGTGTTTCAACATATGTCAAACACTTAAAGGTGAATGTTTCGAAACCTTCATATACACACTACGTATACACACTTCATATACACATTACGATGTGTATGTGAATGTCTGAATACCCCTCTTAATGGGGGCTAGGCGCCTGACAGCTGGGTGGACAGCGCTTCGGATTCGTAGTCCTGAGGTTCCGGGTTCGATCCCCGGTGGAGGCGGAGACAAATGGGCAAAATGTTTCTTTCACCCTGATGCACCTGTTACCTAGCAGTATATAGGTACCTGGGAGCTAGACAGCTGCTACGGCTGCTTCCTGGGGGATGTGTAACAAAATGGAGGCTTGGTCGAGGACCGGGCCGCGGGGACGCTAAAGCCCCGAGATCATCTCAAGATAACCTCAAGATAGGTAGTTATTTTCGTATTGGAGTTTTCACGTCAACATTTTAAGTAGGAAGGAGTTTAAGTTCTGGCAGTTCTTCTACTCCCCAATGGGATGGGACGAGGGGAAGGAATGGTGCCCAACCACTGGGACGCTCGGGGGATTGAACGCCGTCCTGCAAGACGAGAGACAGTGGCTCTACCGTCCAGCCCAAGTGGTTGGGCACTTTGTTTAGTAGTGACTAGTTCTTGCTGGTGTTTTCTTCATGCTGGGAAGTAAGTGTACAAATACTGTACCTTCTAATTACCTTCTGTAATCCTATCTTTTGTATATCTTATTAATGAGTTATTATTATTATTACTGAGGTATGTAGTGGCACTGGAGGGCACTAGAGGTACGGCCTGACTGGTGCCTCCCTACCTTTCCCGACCCTCCAAGCCCTCCCCATCTCCCCCAGGCCCTCCCCATCTCCCCCAGGCCCTCCCCATCTCCCCCAAGCCCTCCCCATCTCCCCCAAGCCCTCCCCATCTCCCCCAAGCCCTCCCCATCTTCCCCAAGCCCTCCCCATCTCCCCCAAGCCCTCCCCATCTCCCCCAAGCCCTCCCCATCTCCCCCAAGCCCTCCCCATCTCCCCCAGGCCCTCCCCATCTCCCCAAGCCCTCCCCATCTCCCCCAAGCCCTCCCCATCTCCCCCAGGCCCTCCCCATCTCCCCCAAGCCCTCCCCATCTCCCCCAAGCCCTCCCCATCTCCCCCAAGCCCTCCCCATCTCCCCAGGCCCTCCCCATCTCCCCCAAGCCCTCCCCATCTCCCCCAGGCCCTCCCCATCTCCCCCAAGCCCTCCCCATCTCCCCCAGGCCCTCCCCATCTCCCCCAGGCCCTCCCCATCTCCCCCAAGCCCTTCCCATCTCCCCCAAGCCCTCCCCATCTCCCCCAAGCCCTCCCCATCTCCCCCAGGCCCTCCCCATCTCCCCCAAGCCCTCCCCATCTCCCCCAAGCCCTCCCCATCTCCCCCAAGCCCTCCCCATCTCCCCCAAGCCCTCCCCATCTCCCCCAAGCCCTCCCCATCTCCCCCAAGCCCTCCCCATCTCCCCCAGGCCCTCCCCATCTTCAAGGACCCTTGAGTCATCTCGCCAGACATTATGAGTCCTGAAGAGTGCTCAATTTGAGCACCTTCCCTCCTCCTCCATCACCCTCTCTCCTCCAGCAACATCCCTCCCTCCCTCCCTCCCTCCTCTTGACCTCCTTCTCTCTCTGTTCCCTCCTTCCTCCTTACCCTTCCTTGCTCTCCTCATCCTCCTTCTCTCGTAAGTGTATATTCCTCTCATCCCTCACACCACCGCCCTTCAACATAATAACCTCGGCCGTGTCCTTATCTACTTTATCTCTACATTTATAAAGCCCCGTGACCGCCCCCCCCCACCGTGTGCACTCTCCCCCGCCCACCTACTTCTCTCCCCACCACGTCCCCGCCACGCCCCCACCACGCCCCCACCACGTCCCCGCCACGCCCCCACCACGTCCCAGCCACGCCCCCACCACGCCCCCTCTCCGTCCCCACCACGCCTCCACGCCCCCACTCCGTCCCCGCCACGCCCCCACCACGCCTCCACGCCCCCACTCCGTCCCCGCCACGCCTCCACGCCCCCACTCCGTCCCCGCCACGCCCCCACTCCGTCCCCACCACGCCCCCTCTCCGTTCCCGCCATGCCCCCACCACGCCTCCACGCCCGCACTCCGTCCCCGCCACGCCTCCACGCCCCCACCACGCCCCCACTCCGTCCCCGCCACGCCTCCACGCCCCCACCACGCCCCCACTCCGTCCCCGCCACGCCTCCACGCCCCCACCACGCCCCCACTCCGTCCCCGCCACGCCTCCACGCCCCCACCACGCCCCCACTCCGTCCCCACCACGCCCCCACCACGCCCCCACTCCGTCCCCACCACGCCCCCTCTCCGTTCCCGCCATGCCCCCACCACGCCCCCACCACGCCCCACTCCGTCCCCGCCACGCCACCACGCCCCCACCACGCCCCCACTCCGTCCCCGCCACGCCTCCACGCCCCCACCACGCCCCCACTCCGTCCCCACCACGCCCCCACTCCGTCCCCACCACGCCCCCTCTCCGTTCCCGCCATGCCCCCACCACGCCCCCACTCCGTCCCCGCCACGCCACCACGCCCCCACTCCGTCCCCGCCACGCCTCCACGCCCCCACCACGCCCCCTCTCCGTCCCCACCACGCCCCCGCCACGCCCCCACTCCGTCCCCACCACGCCCCGCCCTTCACCACCGTCCAGTGGTCGATACGAGGGCCAGGTAATTTACCCGGTGTGGGAGTTGGGTCGAATTCTCTTACGTGTAATAACACCAAGTTTGCGAGGGTTGAGCTCTACCTCTTGGCTCCCGGATCTCACCTCTTAATCAAGTATGGGTGCCAGACCCAACTTTGCTATTATTTCTATATTTTGTTTACAATTAATAAACACATAATGAGCTCCGAAGCACCAGGAGGCTGTTTATAACAATAACAACAGTTGATTGGCAAGTTTTCATGCTTGTAAACTGTTTAATAAATGTAATCAAAGCCGTCAAAGATTGAGAAAAGATGTACACGTTCGTAAGTGCTTGCGTAACTGCTTTGTGAATTTGGGTGCTGGTACTTAAACTGGTATAATACGTGTCTGCCTTACCCCTGCTGTCCTCAGGTCAGGAAGTGAGGGGGGGGGAGCAGCAAGGGGGGGGGGGCATCACTGAGGAATAACAAAATGACAATGACCAACCAACAAGTGTGCCAGATAGAGTTATACTCAATACTTAAGGATCTCATAATTGTGTCTAGAACAGGACAGCCAAATGAAATTGAAGAGTTTGATGAGCTTGAACAGGGAGGGATTGAGTACTTGCAAGTTTCACAGGACTACAGTCCTGTGAAGGCCTGCAGTACAACCCGCCTCATGCAGGTCGGCGTTCAATCCCCGACCGTCCAAGTGGTTGGGCACCATTCATCCCTCCCGTCCCATCACTAATCCATATCCTCATCCTTGTCCAGGGCTATATAGTCGCAATGACTTGGCGCTTTCTTCTGATAGTTTCCTTCCTTCCTCATAGAGTTAGGTTCTCCCCCCACCCCCACAGGGGGAGGGGGGTGGGGGCATCTTTAGTGAGGGGGTCAGTGTGGCGGAAGGTCAACACACTGACCTTCTCTCATTCCCACAAAAGGCAGTAGTGCCAAAACCATCTCTTTGGCACCCATCAGAAACAATCCTGAGGACTCTCCTGAGGAGATACAATCCTGAGGAGAGTCCTGGGACTATCCCAAGAGGTCTGGTCGACGACCGGGCCGCGAGGACGCTAAGCCCCGGAAGCACCTCAAGGTAAGGAGGTCAGAAATATTACTTTCACCGCCAGCCAATCCCGGGTCCTGCCCCCCCCCCCCTCTAGGCATATGGGAGCCACATGGTTATCTTGAGATTATCTTGAGATGATTTCGGGGCTTTAGTGTCCCCGCGGCCCGGTCCTCGACCAGGCCTCCACCCCCAGGAAGCAGCCCGTGACAGCTGACTAACACCCAGGTACCTATTTTACTGCTAGGTAACAGGAGCATAGGGTGAAAGAAACTCTGCCCATTGTTTCTCGCCGGCAACTGGGATCGAACCCAGGACCACAGGATCACAACTTTAGCATGGCCAGCACTGGGATGAACCCTAATTTCTATTGGCTTTCCTTTAATGAGAGGATGATCCCCCCCATGTTCTGAGTGGTCAAAACTCTCCCAAGACTCCTCCCCCCGTCTGTCTGTCCTCCAATAGTGGTTGGAATAATGAACCACTGTCCCCTCGTTTCATATAGAACTGTAGACCTGTCATCTGGGCTCTCTCAGTTCCCCCCCCTAGCAAAGAGTAACATGAAACATAAAAGCAGGGAGCTATAGAGCAGAGCCAGGACCCACTGCCTGACATCCTCAAACACCAAACTTAATGGTTCTGTAAACAGCCATTCCCCCCCCCCCCTACCCTCCCCGAGAAGCTGTTATAACTTAAGACGTTATTCTAACATTCTTGTAACTCACTTTTGTGTCCCTCGTTTGCGTTCCTGCCGTGTGTCAAATGCCATGTCGGTTCCTCTGAGTATTTTGTATCTAGTTAATATGTCTCCTCTCTGATTGTTGACGCTTCCAGGTAGCTCATACCTCTCAGCTCCAGGACTTGCCTGGTGTCCAGAATGTGACCTGGTGGAGGACACCTGTGTCTTGAGAGTCCCGGACGTGGGCTGAGTACTCAACAACATCCGTTACCAATTTGAGAGTGCGCAGAAGAGCTCAAGGAAGACGAGTTTCTTTTAGGCTTCTTAAACTCTTAAAATAAAAAAAAGAGTTCAGAACCGAGTTAACCTCTTGAACGTAGATAATTAATGGTTAATTACCTTTAAGGGACCCGAAAGGCCAAATTGGAGTCAGTTATTTGATTATTTGCACAAATCACTTTTCCCTCCTACAAATGAATGGGAACTGAAGGTTATGTGGGAACAGAAAAAATATCCTAACAAGTTTCAGAAGGTCATTTTGTCAGCAGGAACTATGCCCGAAAGGTTACATAGTTAATACCGGTATGTGTTGGGGTATGAACCTATACCGGTCCTGGCGATCCCCAGCCACCGGGAAGTAGCTTGGTGACCTTCACTATCACCACAGGCGATGGTGAAGCACAAAGTGTGCTTTCACACCATCACTTTTGCGAGCAAGTCTGAATGGTTCCCCAGGCATATATGCAATTGAAAACTCCACACCCCAGAATCGAACCCATACTGCCAGGAGCACTATGCAACTGGTGTACAGGAGACCTTAACCACTCGACCATCAGTGACCGTATAAAAGATGATGGAACTATCACTTTTGAGTGAGGAATGTTGGTTGGGCCGTGTTGATAGTTGGTTAGGGTGTGTGAATGCAGTTCTCCCAGGTGAATGCAGCTCTCTTCCGGTAATTGCAACCCTGGCTATTATATCTGGCTGTTCATTAAGACGTTATAGTGGCCTGAGGACAGATTAAGATATCGTGATGATAAACTTGATCCTGGCGAAGATGTCTTCTCAAGCTCTTCAGGCTCTGCCTACCTTACCTCTCAGGTAACTTTTTATTGACAAAAGGGCTGCACCCGCAGCTTTTCGTGGAGGTAAATGGAATTAATGGTTGAAGGTTGGGCTCGTTGTAGAGACACGCTGGAAACTTGTCTTAGAGGGTAATGTTGAACATGTTCAGAGGGCGGAGATGATACACTAGAGGTGTAGGGAGATGATGAGTATATCTACCCAAGGGCGGGTTACTCAGCGCACTTATCACACGACCCATTTTACTCCTTCCTGGTGAGTCATTAGCCTCAGGATTGAAGTGAGTCTCACTACCCAGGACCCCATCCTCCAGCACCATACACTCGTGTATTCACACCCACACACTCTTCACTCCACACCTGCCGGATTTGCATGTGATACCGGAAGCTGAATAATTAACACGGATCAGGTTGTTTAAGCCGCTGATGCTGTGAGGTGAGTAACTTGTGAGTCAGATGGGTAACACTCACGTCACCTCATCTACACAAACTCTCCACTCCAAACTACCCATCCACTTGGGCTGGACGGTAGAGCGACGGTCTCACTTCATGCAGATCGGCGTTCAATTCCCGACCTTCCAAGTGGTTGGGCACCATTCCTTCCCCCTCCCTGCCCCATCCCAAATCCTTATCCTGACCCTTTCCCAATGCTATATAGTCATAATGATTTGGCGCTTCTCCTGATAATTCCTTTCCTTTCCACTCCAAACTAAAGTGAAACACAAGTGTAACTTACACAACTTTTGAACTTTACAAGTGTAACTAGTTTAATGTGAGGGCAGGAAAGTGAAATTGTGGTAGATTTTCACTCTACCACAATTTTGTAAAGTGTGTATCAGTTACAGAAATAAATATTATTGAATCATCATTCATAAAAAAAGTAGAGAATTAGATAATATTATTGGAAGTCCAGGATTGTATAAATTAGTTAACTTTATAATTGGTAAGATTTGTGATAATTGGTAAGGTATAAAAATATGTAAAGAATGAGTGTATGTGTGTGGAATGAGGGAATAATTAGTTAATGTCCACTTTATGGCACTTATATTAATCCATCCTTTACAGGGATTAATGGAAATCCACCTAATCCATCCTCAGGTGTAATTGGGTATATAATCCCACTCTTATATATATATATATATATATATATATATATATATATATATATATATATATATATATATATATATATATATATATATATTTATATATATGAGTTTGTGTGTGTACTCACCTAGTTGTGCTAGCGGGGGTTGAGCTTTGGCTCTTTGGTCCCCGCCTCTCAACTGTCAATCAACTGGTGTACAGATTGTGTGTGTGTGTGTCAATAGGTTTCACATCCATGTTAGATGATTTACAGGAAGCGCGGGGGGGGAGGAGGGAGGGAGGGAGGGAGGGAGAGAGGGAGAGAGAGAGAGAGAGAGAGAGAGAGAGAGAGAGAGAGAGAGAGAGAGAGAGAGAGAGAGAGAGAGAGAGAGAGAGAGAGAGAGAGAGAGAGAGAGAGAGAGAGAGAGAGAGAGACGTGTATCTACAGAGAAAGCGTTAGACTACGGAAATGCCACTTGATCACACAGTCTGAGAGTGCCACTCCACCAGAGAGGCACTCTGAAGCTGTCAGGCCTCACCATGGCCCGACACCTCCCCAGCCAACACCCACCACCACCATCGTCAACCAAAGTTTTCCCAAAAACTTGTTAAGTTTTTAATGAGTGTGCCAACCCCCCCCCCCCCCCCCCCGCCTCCCCCATCATTCTTCCCGAAGAGTGAAGGGGCGGGTTATGTAGTGATGGTCCCATCATCCTCCTTCAGGTAAAATCCAGGTAAGCAGCAAACACCGTCTACACCTGGAGTGACTGTCAACCAGCCACACTACAAGTATTATTGGTTTTTCTTACGTACAATATTTCCCACGATAAGTGCTAAGGTGTTCTTTAAATCTTACACACAACTTGTTATTCCACACTCTAACTCATACTCATGAATCTGTACACCGGTAGATTGACGGTTGAGAGGCGGGACCAAAGAGCTGAAGCTCAACCCCCTGTAAGTACACTGGCAGCTGCGTCAAGCCTAGCGCCCCCGCGTGTGGGGGCGCCACTCCCCATGGTGACTAATATGGTCAATACATGTTGTGTCTCAGTGGTTATCACTCCCTAGAGTTATCACACGTTATCCTGGCACTGACATTACTGGTTATCACCAAGGGTCATCACCTACACGGCCAAGGTTTCATCTTAAGAGAGTTGGGAGGCTTCTTGCAGAGCCAAAATGCTTCCTTCTTTACCATCTTATTCTCAACCAACCTTTTTCCTGATCTGACTCTTCCTGCTGGTATATTATGAAATTATATATATATATATATATATATATATTAGTATATTTTGGTAGCAGTCTTTCCTGTAGACATATATTATTAAATATGACCGAAAAAGTAAGATTAATAATTCTAACACGAATTTTCTCAATCTTTCGTACATTACGCTTCACTGTTGGAGGTAAATCAAAAATCAATTCTCCAAAATTCATTTTTATTTCTAGTCTGACGTGACACGGGCGCGTTTCGTAAAACTTATTACATTTTCAAAGGCTTTAGTTCACAAATACACAACTGAATAGAACTTACGTATCTCCGATTTTATATCTACATTTGAGTGAGGTGGAAGGGGTGATGTGGCATTAACACAAGACAGAACAAAATGTGGTATTAATAGAGTATTAATTTCATCAACACAAGACAGAACAAGAGTATTAATAGGGTATTAATTTCATCAACACAAGACAGAACACGAAACAATGGATATTGAATAGAAGTGTTTGTAGAAAGCCTATTGGTCCATATTTCTTGATGCTTCTAT